ACGGTGTGGAATGCAGGTCCCCGAACATCGGAAACTTCCTGTTTTACGTTGAAGTTTCTCAATTGAAGCTCAAAAGACTCGAATTTTGAAGAAGTGATGAAACGTTTTGATAAATACTGTTGAAAAATCGGTTATGTCTTCAACTCGAATGTTCAATGCATAAAATTCACAATGAATTGAATTCGCGTTTTTCCATTTCTCAGTTTTAACAATTTCGTCAATTTCAATTTCCATATTGTTATCCAGAGGGAATAAATCAAGGATTTCCAAAGTTTCCGGATCAGCAAACGGTAAAATTGACATGATTTTAGACTGACTGTCAGTTTTTATTTATAAGGCTTTCGTTTTAAATTTTCGATTGAGCTTTGAGAACATATTGCTCAGTTTAGGTGCCGAATTCGAAAACTTTGAATCCTTTCGAGGTGAAGAATTATATAAGTATAAAATAAGACTATCTAAATTGGATTTTTGAAACCTCAACACTTGTTCCAGATCTCGAATCGCCACATCCACATATTCGAATTTTCCATAATCGTTTTCTTTCCTTTCAAACTTCTAGAACTTCCGGAATAAATGAATCGGTTCAGAGAATTATCCGAACCTCCTTAATATAGAAAAATATCCTTATTCGCTATCATTTCAATTGTTGAAAACTTCGAATCCGGCAATTTCGAATCGCTTAATCTGTATATGAAATTCAGGAAATTTTTACAAACATGACGGAGGGTTAGACTGAAAAATATTTTGTAAAAAATAAACATCTGAAAATTAACTCACACAGATCGAAAATCCGAGAACCCAATGATATTTTCCATTACAAGCTCTGGCATTTCGGAAAGGGAAGACATTTTGAAAATGGAAAAAATGAGTAGAAAGGGACAATTTCTTATCACCAACCAACCAAATTTCACTCTCCAAATTGTGTTTTAAGACTGTTTACATTTCCCGAATATCGAAATTTCGAACCTTACCGAATGTGTCATGCATTGGAAATTCAGAATTGTTGATGCTGTAATTTCGAAAAGTGAACAATAATTTACATTGTTAGAGGCGGAGAGAAAAAAAAATGAAATTCAGTTGATTGGTGATAAGAAACTATCAATTTCTTTGCCAATTTTTTGCGAATTTCAAAAATGGATTCCCTTTCTGAAATGCCAGAGCTTGTAATGGAAAATATCATAAAAGTTTCCTGTTTTCTAAAATATTAAAATTGAATCAAAATGAATTTTCAGCCTGACCCTTCGTCAAGTCTGTCGAGATTTTCTCAATTTCATCGACGATTCGAAGGATTCGAAATTGCCGGATTCGAAAATAAATATTATTATCAGAGTGGAAAAGAATAAGAATATTTACCGTAAAACCTCTAATAGAACGA